TATGGAGCTAGGTCAGATGCCGCTACAGCTGCACTGGGCTGAATCCGTATTTCGCTTCTGGAATAGTTTGGTGGAGGACACTAGTAGCGTATACCACAGCGCCTTTCGTCAGGAAATTCGTTTGGCGTTAGTAACGAATTTGCAGTTTGATGGTTGGGGATCCAAAGTCATTCGTATCCTTAACCACTTAGAGCATGACTGGGGTGAGGAGGCAGTCGGGGGAGGCATTGATATGAGGGTTAGACGTTACTCGGCTTGCAAGCTTGATGTCGAAGCGCTGATGGACACCCTTAGGACACGTGTCAACGACGACTGGGCAAATGATAGGCTAGCTGTGGACCCTAGAGTTTTCGTTACGGACGGTAGGAAGCCCGGCGTGAAGATGGGCCGCCATAAGCACTGGATGGGGCCACCGAAGCCGTACGCGGGTTATATCCCCCCGGCGCATCATCGTGCCCTAATCCGCTTTCGTTTGTGTGTCTCTGACCTGGCGGTTAACAGTGAGAGCAACAGGGCTAGGGAGCACCGCGTGTGCGCTGTGTGTCGTAGTAATGGTGCTATTGAGGATGAGAAACACTTCTTGGTAGAATGTCCGGCGATTATGTCTGCGCGTCAGAAGCTCTGGGACCTCGGTGTGCCCGTCAATGCGAACATCCGTGATATCATGCAAGTGGATGATCAGCGTGGTCTTGCAAAGGCTATTTTTGAGATGTTTCGCTCCCGACATGAGCACCTAACCACCTAACTTTCTCGGCGGTAACAGGCAATTTTGTTTCAGAGTCAAATTGACGCTGTTCTTTCTCATAACACCCGTTTTCTTCTTGCGTAAAACTTTCCTTTTTTGTTGTTTGTTTTGTTTGCTTCGTTTACTTTTTCTCTTTTTTCTTTTCCCTATCGACGGCGCTGTCAAAGCGGTTCATGAGCCTCCGGGTTCGTTTGGGCCGTACGAGCTCGCTGAAGCTTGTAACATCCATCCATCACAAAAGGAAGTATCACAAAAAGCATGATCTTGGATCCATGGAGTATCTGTCATCTATATGATCTGGGATTCATTAGGTCCTCGTCGAATGCGGACTTCGTTCATAGTGCCATGTGAACGCCAACTAGACAGTGGTACTATATATATTATATCGATCCCGCAATCATCCAATTAGCAATCTCGTTTGCCTTTGATTCTCTTCTAGATATACGTTCCTAGACTACTTGCACGATAAAGTACCTTGAAACGCAAGTTCCTTCATCCTGAAGGTTAAACGATTGATTACACAATAGCTAGTGAGCCGAAAACAAGAATTGAGACTGCAAATTGCAGTGTTTAAAAGTGGTGACTCTGTCACTTGGGCCTTGTGTCGTGCAATCTCATCCGCAATGCTCATGAAAATCCCTTTCGGGACCCAAATTTGTTGTCACAGGTGTCGATCACTTCTGTAGCCTTCCAATTGTGCAGCTCCACATATCTGCAAAAATGATCGCTGCTCGTGTCCAGGCCAAGCCAGTCGCTGCCGCTAAGCCGGCTCGCGCAGCCGTTGTGGTGCGCGCACAGAAGACCGAGGCCCAGGTGTGTTCACTGGATGGGTTAGCTAATTGTGTACCTTGCTCCCTCCAAGTGCTCTGAAGTGACATTGGGGAAATTGGAGCGGATGGATAGTGTAGAGAACACTGATTATACTTACGTGGTCTACACGTTTTACAATCCAATGTTTTCCAATATAATGAAGCTTTGAATAAACCAGTAGATTGTTGCCAAAAGAGTGCACTGGCCTAGATTGTTTCTATTGGCGCTGCCACGTAGGCAAACTTTAGGTTTACTTTATAATCAAAGGGATGGCTAGACCGGAGTCTGAGAACTTTGTTTCATAAAATTTCTGGGTACTGATTTCCCCTGGTTTCCCTTGTACAGAAGCCCAAGGTCGCCCAGGCTGTGATGGCCGTCCTGGCGTCCACTGTGATCGCCCTGTCGTCCTCGTCGGCTGCCAAGGCCGAGGTAAGCTCGCGAGCATCTCCTCCGCATGATCACTCCACATCACCAAGCACTGCATTGTATGCGAGTCTTCCATGAACCCAAGTATGGAAAATGCGTTAAGGGTAGTTCATGGCGTACGGATTGGCACTGAGATGACTGAATAGGAATGCGCTGACGGGTGTGAATGTTCTGTACCCTGATCCCTTCCCTTACATCAGGCTACCGTCAAGCAGGTTGTGTGCGCGTCCAACCCCACCGCCAAGGTCTGCCTGAAGGGTAGCGCCAAGTCCTCGTAAACACTTTACCCGAGCGAGCATGCAAGCATCGCGCTTCGCTCCGCGCCAGTAACGTGGCCTGAATCCATACCAATTTTGATTGGAGCATTGGGCTGTGTGGTTCAGCACGAGTGAGCGGACGCCCGGCCTTGTCGTCATGCCTAGCCATGGGGCAAATGATGAAAAGATAATGTAACAAAATCTAATGCAATACCACCTCTTCATCTGTGATTGATCCTCTTCATGTACTTGTCCGTGTGAAGAGTTGTAAACTATCCTTGCCCAGTAAACCATAGGGGAACTCTGGAAATTCTGGATTTTCTAAACTTGGATCTACATAAACGGTAGTTGCCTCTACCCCACATACCCATACAGCCCACATACGATATACATGTTATGAACACCCAGAATAAGTAAACCTGCTGTGTAACACGGTCCATAACACCTGTCTTTGGCCCCAAAGTGTCCAGACTAGATAAAAGGAACAAACAACTCCAATTCTACATGAATTGTAAGCAATAGCAGTGTGAAAGCCAAAACACAGATTAACGCTGACGGAGCTGCTGCTGGTTGAACTGCTGCCACACTTGGTGCTGCTTCAGTTGCCAGTGTTCCCAACGACGACGCACACTTCCCGCCAACGCCCCAACAGCTTCCACACTGCACACCACCAAGCCAGCTCCACCAACGCCATTGCAACCAGCACCCCGCCCCGCAACCCCCCCCGTTCTGCCAGCACCACCGCTGCCGCCGCTCAGCACAAGCCTCGCCGCCCAGGGCGCCAAGACAGGCGCTCCGAAACCCGCCTCCGGTCCTAGAGCGGCCTGCAGCAGCTCCGGGGGTGTGCGGGCCCAGGCTCCCAGGCGGCTGGTAGCCAGCTCCACCAGCTGGGGGGAGTCCGAGTCAGGGGAGGAGGGCGCCAAGCCATCCAGCGCGGCGCGGCCTGGGGAAGCGTTGGTGCGGGGTTAACGCGGGCAAGGAGGTCTTACTGGGCTGATAGAAGGAAGCAACGACTTTCCCGGCGCCGTAACCGCGTTCTCTCATGCCTTCCCCTCCCGTGCGCACCCCGAGCACTCACGAGTGTCCTCACTGCCGCCCGTCAGCAGCTCCTTGAGCAGCACCAGCGCCTCCTGGGCCGCCCGGAGTCGCTGTGGATACATGGGAGCAGTAAGCAAGCAACACAAGCACGCACGTAACATGCAGTGCCAGACGGGCGATTTCCACAATGCCTAAAGGTATTCATGCAGAGCCTCACATGCCTCGCCATGCATTAAACAAGACCAGCGCCCCCCTCTCCCCTCCACCTCCACATCCACCTCCACCTCCCCACCGGACACCCACACAACACAGCGCAGCACCACGCTCAGCTGGAGCGTGCATACATGGTGACAGAGCAGCGACACATGGGAGTTACTTCGCGGGCGGCCCACGTCATGAAAGCAGCCACTCGGTTGCGGGAGCTGCCGAGAACATTAACAACAACATTGGCTTTCGTAAACGTTTGCAAGACTACCCCGCGTCCCTCTCCCCGTTTCCACCCCACCACCTGCAGCCAGTCCGCGGGCGGAACACAGGACCCGGCCACGATCTCCAGGGAGGGGTCGGCAGGGGCGGGGTAGACCGGCTCCAGGGGGTCCTCGGAGCCTGAGGTGTGCCAGTGCGCAGGGGGGAAGGGCGGGGCGGGGCGAGGGGAGGGTGGCAAACAGGGGGCAGAGGCGGAACAGAGGGCCCTTCGACGGGACGGACTGATCACTGCTGATCACGGGAGGAGGCAAAAGGGCGAACATCACCAAAGGAGGAAGAGAGATGGGCAACCAGAAATCGGTGGTCAGGCCTCCAGAACACCCGGAAGGTCGGATGCCCTCCGGGTCCCACCGGGGCGGCTAAGGAGCTGATTTAGCTGGTGTGGTGTAGCGAGTCGCTAAGAACCTTGTCAAGACAGCGACCATATATTGCGGGTTGTGTACGGCGCAGCACCCATGGATGATGTACGACTTCCTCCGAGGTACCCGGGGTATTTGTTTCAATACCCCCTCTCCCCCCCCAAAGGCCACCTACCCGGTGGTTTGCACGCCGTATCCGCCAGCGCCAGCAGCCGCAAGGGCAAGCCGTAACCCTGGGGAACCGCAACAACCAGAACACATGCAGCAGGTTACGAACGTAGATGGGGAGGATGCACTGCCTGCATGTCTGTATGTATGTCTGTATGCATGCACGTCTGGTGTTCCCTTGAACCTAAATTGTTCACCACATGCTGCCCCACACTCGATGGTATGCCGGAAGCCCGGCCCCCTCCTCCCTCCCCCCAGACCGGTGTGTCTTAGGCGAGGCGAGGTGGAGCACTACCTCCCACATCAGAAGGAAGCACGACTGAAGTAATCGCAATATGTCTCTTCCGGCCTGTACAGTGTTTGGGTTACGCGGGGGCAGCAGCACCACTACTTCCCCCGGGGACCTGGTGAGGTCGGATCTGAGCTACCCTCTTGTCCGTCCGTCAGTCAGTCAGTCGGTCCGTCCGTCCGTCCGTCAGTCAGTCAGTCCGTCAGTCACCCTCCTCGGTGCCAGTGGCCCACCCAGACCCCGGGAGCTCCCCGGCTGAGGAGGGAAGTGGCACTGATACCCGCGGTGCTGACTGGGCACCCGCGGGGGCTGCTCAGCGGCATCACACAGGAGCACATCTCAACATGCGGCCCCGACAACGCCTCCCCCTCGGAAGCGACAACATGTTGGCCGCTGGGGGGGAGGGGCTGCTGCTCTGCCACATGGCAAGCTCCGCTCCGCCCTACTGCACCCCCCCTACGTGGCCCCACCCCAACCTTATACGCACATAGACATACACATAGACATACACATAGACATACACATAGACATACACATAGACATACACATAGACGTACACATACGGAGCCCTGAGCCACTCCCAACCCCGAGATCCACCTCAAGCCAGGGAGGGCAACATACGGCCCCCACCAGCCCCTCATGTCCGGTGTCCAGCAGCAGCGCCAGCAGGGCCAGCACCTGACGGGGGAGGTCGTACGGGGAGGACGCACCCGGCGGCCCCCCCCAGCCGCTGCCGCTGCCGCCAGCCCAGCCCTGCTCGCCAGCGGCGGCCTCGCTCCGGCCCCATCCACCCGGGCCCTCCTCCCCACAGCCGGATTCAGGATCCAATGCATCAAGCAGCGCAGTAAACAACTGTACGGCAGCAGCAGGCTCCAGAACCTTGTCGTGTGAAGGCGGCGCACTGCTTCGGTTGTGGTGTGCATCGGGTCCGCTTGCACGGTTGTCGGTTGTGGCGGTGGTTGCGGCCGTTGCAGTGTATCCAGTTACCCCCAGGGCGGTTGCTGCCGCAGCGGCGCAGTCCGGGTTCTCCATCATGAGCCTCAGAAGGGCAGTGGCGGCCAGGCGGGTGTGTGTGGCGGTACGGCACATCAGGGGCACCAGCAGGTGGAGGGGGTCCAGCAGGGCGGGTAGCAGTGCCTGTGTACGTGTACGTGGAGGGGGGGAGGGGGGGAGGGGAAAAAAAGGGGTTTGATGAGGAGAGAGGAGGATTCGTGATGGCGCCGTTAAGACTTCCGGAGGGGTTTCGGAGCCTGGGAAGGAGGTCCGTATACACCCCACATCACCCACTTCAACACGAGCGCCACCACCGCAGCTGTAATCTCTCCAAAGACCCCCCCTCCCTCCCCCAACCTTCAAACCCCAAACCCGGCACGCACGCACGCACCCGGCGGGTAGACGCTGCCGGAAGCACCGCCCCGAGGGAGCTCAGGGCTCCGGCCACACAGCGCAACACATCCACATGGGGGACAACACCTCCCGCCCCGGAGCAGGGGCCGGCAGGGGCAATCTCGGCGCCACCGTCGTCTTCAGCGTTGCAACACGCCGCCACCGCCATCAGCAGCCGTACAAGGTCCCGTAGAGGAGCGCTGATGGCAGCGGCGGCGCCGCCAACCGCATCGCAGCGGCCAGCGGCCCCCGGCCCGTGCTCCTCCCCCTCTCCACGTATCAAGGGATCGGCGCCGTCAGCGGCTAAGGTGGTCAACGCCGCCTTGGGCTCATGCTGCTGACCCATGGGTCGCTCTTGGCCACCTCCGGCTGCTTGTGCGTTTGCATTAAGAGTGGCATATGCCGCAGTTGAACCTCCAGGATCAAACGAGGCCCCCAAGCAACCGTTCTGGGAGCTGCTGCTGCTGCTGCCGTACACGAACCTGCGGACATGCCGCCGCCGCTCAGCGCGTGCCGCTGCAGCCGCGGCGACGCAGCCATGACTGCCCGTCAGCGGGAGGAGCAAGTACGGCAGAGATCCCCAACGCAGCGGACCCCCAACGCAATGGCTACTTGCCCCGGATGACGTCATCACGGCAGTAGCTGCGGCAGTAGCTGTGGTGGTCGTTGCCTCTCCCGGCAACGCGGGAGGTGGTCGCGGTGCAGACGCCTCCGCGCTGCCGCAGCCGCCGCTCTCCACCGTTGCGGCGCCGACAGCTGCCCTGCAGGGCCCGGAGGAAGCAGGAGGGCATGAAACCTTTGTACGACACTGTAGGGGGTCAGTAACACAACAACAACAACAGCAGCAGCCGCTGACGAAGGCCGCGTGCAGCAGCTGCAAGGAAGAACGCCGGACCCACCTCCAACCCTCAGGCGGCCCAACCCAGGCGGCTCCACAACCCCACTCCCGGCTCCCACATCTCCCCAACCTCAACGCGTAAGAGGGAGCCACTCCGTACTCCCCTCCCCCCCCCCCCCGGGAGCACATATCCTAGAGCCGCTGAGACCGTCCCCTGCCCGCCCACCGCTGTCCTGTCCTAACCCAGCCTACACTGCAGCGATACCACCCGTCCCCCCCCCACAACTTGAGGTACATGTCCTTCCTCCCCCTCCCCCTCCCCCTTCCCCTCCCCCCCGCCCCCACCTGCACTCTTCAGAGTGGGCCAGCAGCCCCCCCAGCAGCTCCACACACGGACCCACCAGCGGCCACAAGGCAGCCCGCTGACGAGCAACCACCTTCGCCGCCTCCACCCCCACCCCCACCTCTAGCCGCCGCTGGGGTGACTGCCCCAGGTCGCCCCCCTGCGGCCCCTCATCATCATGACCACCCTCACCGCCACCGCCACCGCCACCATGAGGCGGCTGCGTGTCGTCGCCTCCCGCAGCAGCCGCCTCCTCACCAGGCGGCTGGAGGGGGCCACCGCCGGAGGCAGCTGACCCGGGGACTGACCCCCGGTAGCGGTCCCCGCCGCCGTCCCCACCGGCAACCGCGTCCGCCTCGCTGCAAGTCCCTGTCGCTGCCTTTGAGGGGGAGTGTGTGGGAGGACGAACCACGAACGAGTGAAGCTGCTGCCAAGGAAAGAGTGTACGAGAAGCAGAACTGACCAGTAGGCGGTTTTGAAGGCGGCGACCTCGGGATGATGTAAGGATGACGACCGCGGAAACCTACCTACCTACCTAGCCGCCAAGACTAAAATAAGAGCGGGAAGAAAAGCAGCAGAACGAAGCCGTATAGAAATGTGGGGTGTGGGGAGGAGGGACCGGGTGTGGAGGAAAGGCAACGCGGTCGGCCAACACGGCGCGAGGGGCCCCACTCCTCTGGGATAACCTGGTTGGGGGGGGGCGGGAAGAGGAGCTCCGAATGGCCACCACCCCCGAGATATCAGGCGCCTGGACGGAACAGATAAACAAATTGACAGACGGACGGACGGGCTGCCTGACTCTCAAGACCAATGGTCCCAAGGTAATTAGTCAACGCGAACCACCACTCTCACCTGCAGTACCGCCACCACCCCCAGCAGCACTGCCGTACCGTCCCCCCGGCCTCCCGCCAGCGCCCGCAGCTGCACCCGAACCCCCTCCACAAGCGCCACACAGCGGCCCCGTACAGCTGTACGGTGATCGCTGCCGCTGCCGCCGCCATCGCTGTCGCCACCATCACCACCCCCGGCCCCACCGCCCGTCAACGAACCTCCCAGCAGGGCGGGACACATCTGGCCTGGCGGACCGAGCTGACTGCTGCTGCCGCCACCAAGCACGACGTGGCGGTGCTGGTACGTGTGGTGCAGGCCAGGGAGGGGCATCAGGCCGGCGGCCAGGCAGGGGGCGGCGGCGGCGGCAGTTCCCCGGGAGCCGCCATCCTCCTCCTCCTCCTCCTCCTCCCCGGCTGCTGCTGCCGCCGCTGTAGCTGGTGCGGTGGGGTGTAGCAGTACGGCGAGGGAGTCCGGGCAGGTGCACCAGAGGCGCTGCCACAGCGGTAGGCGGGCAGCTCGGAGGCCGTCAAGGGCCGTCAGCAACAGAGCCGGGGACGGAGTGGCGGCAGCAGCGGAGGTAGTGGTGCTTGGGCTGCCGCCAGTCGCTGCAAGTACCGGTGCTACTGCAGCGCCGCCTGCGGCCCCCCGCTCCTGCTGCTGCTGCTGCTGCGGCGGTCAAAGAGGATAACACGGCGACATACTTACAAAACAAGACTCACGACGGGGCTGTCGTACAAAGAAAGATCTTTGCAAAAAGGACTTTGCATCCCCAGCTCCAATCATACTTGTCGTACAGCCAGTCCGTACAACCCGCAAAAGCTGTACGCCACCGCATTTGCGGCCCTCCCCTCCCCTCCCCTC